CCCTGCCCTGGCACAGGGATCCCCTGGCACCCCCGCCCTGCCCTGGCACTCACATGGGCTCCACGGCTCTCCCCGAGGCTGTCGCTGCTCGCCGGAGCGTTGGCGTCTGTCACAGACCAGCACGGCACAGCTCCTGCGGTGACAAACCTGGGCAGGTGGGAATCGCCGGGACTGGGGGCCCTCAGTGACACCCCCAGCCTGCAGAGAGGGGACATCTGGCCCTGGTCCCCCCGCTGGTGTTGCCGTGTCACCCGTGGATGGAGAGAGGTGTCCCAAGTCAGGCAAACCCCCCCCCAGGCATCGAGGGGTGCAATGGGAGCTCTGAGCCCCAAAATGTCACCAGCCTGGATGTCCCAGGGGAGTGGCAGCCAAAGGGACAGTGACCTCCCTGCCAAGGCACGTGGGGGTCCAACAGCCCAGGGTGTGCTCAGACACCCCAAAAACACAAGGCTGGGCACTGGAAGGCCAGGAGAAATCAGCAGGAGAAATCCCAGGTACCATGGAGCAACCAGACCCCCAAAAGGAACTCAAGGGAGCTCAGGGAGGACTCCAGACCTTGTCCCAGCTGGGAAGTGAGAGAGCAAATGGAAGCCCAGGGCTCTGGCACCAGGAAGGGCTGGGGAGGCGTTGGGCTCTTGGGGTCCAGGGGTTTCTCTGTCCTGGGAGAGCTCCAGGGGTGGGAAGGCAGCACAAGGCCCCAGCAGCTCTGGCCTCAGCCCTCTTGGCAGCTCTGACTCCAGTGCCTCAGGTGCCACATCCTCCCCAGAAGGAAGAATTTTTGCCCCCTGAGAGCCAGATTTAGCTTACTTCCCCCCTGTGGAACACTGAGAAAAAGATACCAGTACCCAGGATGAAACCTACAACTCAATGTTGGAAGCAAAACAGACAAATAAGAGGAAACCTTTTGACCATGATCTGAAAGATCTTTGCTCTCAAGAGGAAATAAAATGAGTCTTTGGTTTGTTTAAGTGATGTAAGTCTGATCCTTTCTGTGCCGGGAAGGGACGGAGCTGCCCCAGGACTCTCATGGGCCCTGGGGAGGTTCCAGACCCAGGGGAAGCAAAAGGTGGAGAACTTTTCCTCAAAGTGTTCCCCCCCACGTGCTTGCCCTGTGTTTGAGCTTCTCAATCATTCACCCTGGGTTTGGGCACAGATGAGCACCAGGAACGTGGAGGAGGGCCTGAGCCTCTGCTCCTCTTCTCCCTGGCCATGATCACATTCCCATGGAGCTGGTGTCACACAGGTGTCCCTCAGTGCACGAGGTCACCCTGTGAAGTGACACCACCACGAAGAACCATCTCTGCCAGGCTGAGCTGTGTCCTGCAGAGTCTCACACACCTCACCAGTGGCCATGGCTCACAGTGAGAACAAGGAACCTCTTCTCCTGTCCTTCCTTGGCCACCTCTGAGCTCTCCCTGCCCACCTGGACAGCCCTTTGGTGGCCTCAGGGCATCCCAAGTCTTTCTCCAATGCTGCACAGGGACCATGTCACCTCGAGGCACCCTCACTAAATGAAGAGGGATCGAACACTGTGCCCACAGCACACCCCTGCTGGGCTCCCCAGCCCTCAGCTGGGCCCAGTGCCCTGTCACAGAGTGCCAGGCTCTTCCACATCTCCACCCCTTGGGCTTCACCCTGATGGAGGAGCCCGAAGAGCCTCCAGACCTGGGGGCAGGCAGGTGTCCTTCCCTGCCAAGTGCCTCAAAGGCATTAACTCGGCCCCAGAGCTGACCAGATCCATGTCCAGCTCTGTCCCCTCTGGGCAGGAGATGCCCTGGGAGGAGGTGGATGCACTCCAGGGCTCCACAGCCCACGCAGGATCCTTGTCCCCAGGCAGGATGGGCCGTGTCACCTGCAGGAACAGCCGTCCTGGGCTGGTGATCCAGGCACGGCCACTGCCCAGGCCAAGCAGGGCAGGGGTGGCCACAGTGCCACGGGTAGCCGTCAATGCCAGGGATGGCCAACAAATGCCAGGGACACTTTGCCCATGGCAAGGCTGGTCACCTGCAGCCCCCAAGTCCTTGCTCGCAGTGCCTCTGCCCAGGAGTGCTTCCATCCATCCATCCATCCATCCATCCATCCATCCATCCATCCATCCATCCATCCATCCATCCATCCATCCATCCATCCATCCATCATCCGTCCCTCCTGCCCGCTCATCCCGCTCCGGGCACTCACGCCCCGCACGCCAGATCCGCCCGTAAAGGCTCAAAATCGCAGGCACTTAACAAATAATCAGCTCCGCTCTGCTGCCGCTGGGACCTCTCCTGCACGGGCTCCCGAGGTCGCTTTCACCGCTGACTCACATCAAAGACACTTCCAAAAATAGTCCCCTGCCTGCCCCGCTCTCCCTGCCACCCTCGCCCCGGGACGGGCCCCGTGGCTCCCGCTCCCTCGCGGCCGCACAGAGCCGGGCTGCGGCCAGGGCTGCCCGGGGGCTGCCCCACACCTGGGCTTAAAAGGCACAAACTCCGTACCTGGGCTCGGCCGCCGCCTCCTCCTCGGCTGCAGCCCCCGGGCGGCCCCGGCTCTGCCGGGTAAAGAACAGCAACAGCTGCCGGAGGGAGCCGGAGCAAAATAGCGCCCAATCACCGCGGGCCGAGCGCCGCAAAAGGCAGCTCGGCCCCGGCCCCGAGCACCTGCGAGGGGCTTTGTCCCTCCGTGACACTCCCGGCGAGCTCGGGGAGGGGACAGGACCCCGGCCCCGGGTGTCTGAGGCAGCTGCGGGAGGGATGGATGGACGGACGGACGGACGGAGGGATGGATGGACGGACGTGGGTGCTGGGGGTGCAGAGGTGGAGCCAGGCACAGGTAAAGAGAGAGGACGAGAAATCCCCCTGGGGGCAGCAGCGCTCAGACAACCCCAGTGAAAACCCCGTTTTGCAGAGTTTGGAGAGGCCCATTGCCCTCCCACCCCTCTGATGTCCCCGTTCCTGTCCCCAGGTACCACAGGCACCTCCTGGGCAGGTGGGAGAGGGGATGTCCCATCCCGCCCACTCCCAGGATACAGAGAATGTATCCAGATCTTCTTCATCTGCTCCCCAGATGAAGAATCCCATCTGGGGAGCCCCCGCACCGGCCAGAGCAGTGGGCACACCCTCAGGAGAGTTTTCCTGGTTGTATTCCCATTCCAGCAGGGTCAGAATCCCATCTGGGGAGCCGCAAAAGACCCTCGGGCTCTGGCCCTGCCTGCGGGGGTTATCCTGAGCCCCCAGCTCAGCACGGGCAGGAACAGCCTCAGGCAGAAGCTCCTGTGCCAGGCATGTGGTGCAGCAGTGCCTGGGACCAGTTTGGCACACCCCACCTTGAGGACATCGCTCTTACGGAGAGGCTTCAGGCTCAAAAACCCCCCAAGCCCTGAAATTGCAACATTTCACACCTGTGATAGTGACATTTTTCTTTAGCAAGACCTAAGGGAGGAATAAACCAGGCGCTGCCTTTCCCCGGGCTGGAGCCAGGTCCTGCTTTAGGAGCTCTCAGCACATGGGCTCAGGAGCAGCCCCTGCTCCCCAGGGCAGGGATTTGCCCTCTCCGGCAGGGACAGGACTGAGCACACGGAGGGAAGAACAATGTGCCGTGGAAGCCGGATGGATGGAGGAGGGATGGGGCTGCACACAGCCCCCACACCGGCCAGAGCGGTGGGCACACCCTCAGGAGAGTTTTCCTGGTTGTATTCCCATTCCAGCAGGGTCAGAGCTGTTCACTGGCACGGCATTTGCTTTATAGGGAGGTGATGAAAGAAGAAAATCATAAACAGGCCAAATAAAATCCCTTTTCCTCTCAGTTAATCACGTTTCCCATGCTGCCCCCGGGTCTGTTCCCTGCTCCTGCCTCCCGTGGGTGAGCTGGTCCTTCCAGGAAAGATGCCAGGGGCTGAGCAGGCACCGTCTGCACTCGCAGAGCTCCGGCAAAACACCCTCCCACTTCACCCTTACATGGAGCCACAGGATAGAGATCGCTCCTCAGCCTCCCCAGGACCTTTCAACACCCCGTTCCCGCAGCGGGGAGGGACCGGCAGCGGTTCTGCCTCCACACGCGTAGCTCGGAGCAGTTCCCCGCGGAGCTGCAAAGCCTCCACCTCAATCGCACAATTTATCCCGGGCAGATGGAGGAAAGAGATTCCCGGAGGAAAATTCTTTCCTAATCTCTTGAACCCCCCCCAAATCCCGGCTTCTTCCGTGCCCGGAGCCTGGTAAAAATGTCTCTGGGAAGGGGTGAGCTCGAGGAGGGGGAAACCCGATCCGGCTGGGCGAGCAGAGGAGAGAGCCAGGTGGGAGAGCTGGGGAGGGCAGTGGAGCAGCGTCCAGGCCAAACAGCGGCCTTGGACTCGGCTGGATGACACAGCCCCTCTTCCCCGGCTTCCCGGGCTGTCCCCTAGCCTCTGTCCTCACCAGTTGTGGTCCGGGCTGTGCTGCAGCATCCCCTCACTGCCATGGCAACGCTCACTTCTCCTCCCACCCAGACATCATCTCCCTTCTCCCCGTTTTTAATAACTCACAGTTAAAAGGCAATCAGAAAAGCATAAAATTAGTCACTGAGTATTTTTGGCACAGGTTGGTTCTGGGGATGAATCTTCTCTCAATTCTCACAATTCCCTCTCTCCCCAGAGCTCCCAGCCCCTGCCTGACTCTGTCTCCTCCTGCCACAGGTACGAGGGGTGGCAGATGCTCGAGCTGGCTGCTCAGGTGGCTTTCCCACTGCTCACCAGGCTGCCTGCAGGTTTCCCCTTGGATTTCATCCCTGGCTCCATCAGAACCTGCCTGACCATGCTCCCATGGTTTGTGACTCCAAAACACTTCCCAGCCTTTGAAGCCCTTACCCTGGGCAGAGCTGGGCTCTGGGCCTGATTTTAGAGATGGGAATTTGGATGTTGTCTGCCAAGCCAAGTGCCCTGGGCACAGCACAGCTCTGCAGGTAATGCCCAGCTCCAGCTGTGTCACCCCCACGCTGGCATTGTCCCTTGGGGGCCACAGGTCTGAGGCTGCACAGAGCAGGTCCCCTGCTGGCACCAACGACCCGCTGGAGATGCACGTGGAGCTCACCCAGGTGCTGCATGGACTTGTTGGAGGAGCTTGGTGTCTCCCAGCCCTCCACCCTTCCCTCAGATGTGGTTGGGGATGCATCCAGAGCAGGGCTGGTGGAAGAGAGGATCACAGAAACACCAAATTCTCCAGGAAATGGGGTGAAAGAGCACCTTGATTCCCTGCACAACCCAAACCCCAAAGGCATGGGTGTCCCCATGGCAACCTGGGCACAGCCCAGTGCTGACAGCAAAATTCCTCTTTCAGCTGGATCTATCATCTCCAGCTGGGGGGGAGTGGGCTGTGCAATGTGTGTGTGTGCTGACACAAAGCTGCTGCCTCCTTCCTCTGAAGAACAAAACGTCCACCTGGGAGATGACTCCTGCAGGAACCACAGAGCTTTCCGAGCACTGGGGTTATTGAGGAGCACTTGGGAGTTTCAGGAAAGGAAGGAATGTCTCCTCTCTGGCAGCTGTGCTGCTCCTGTCAGATCCCATCTGTCAGCACGAAGATTTCAGATCTGCCAAGCTGAGCCATCTCCTTGCAGAGGTGTGGATAATGGAAGGCCTGGAGCAGTTTGGATGCTGGATGTTCCTGTGGCTCCACATCCCCAGGTGTTGCAGCAGGGCTGGAGGGAGCCAGCAGGAGATGGAGCATCCTCTGCATGAGCTGATTCCCACAGCTGATACCTGGACAGGCTCCATGTGTCCAGGAGGGCTGACTGCACATCATGGGCCTGCAAAGCTTCTGATGCCAGTTCTGATCAAGATCTCAGACCTTCCTCATGGCTTCAGGGATTTGGTTAAGATGGAAAATACAGCCAAGGGGATCTTCTGTCTCCTCTCCTGGGTTTGAGGTGGTGTGGAACTGGTGAGGGAAGATGGGAGCTCTCTGGGCTGGTACCACCTCGGTTTAATGAACCACACCTTGGAGCATCAATGGGACAAGAGGAAATGGCCTCAAACTGCTCCAGGAGAGGTTCAGGCTGGACATCAGGAGGAATTTCTTCATGGAAAGGGTGGTCAGGCATTGGAAGGGGGTGTCCAGGGAGGTGGTAGAGTCACCAAGGAAAACTGGAGGTGGTACTCAGTGCTCTGGGCTGGTGACAAAGCAGGGATCGGGCACAGGTTGCACTCAATGGTCTCAGAGGTCTTTTCCAACCTAAATGAGTCTGGAATTCTGGGATCTTGGAGGATCTTCTTCCTTTTACCCTTTTAGCCTGGAGGGTATGCAAGCCAGAGAAATGATGGCTCTTTGTTTAAAGGGAAGGGGCCCAGGTAGGGAGGACACCCCACCACAGGATTTTGGGAGCAGATGCTGGAACTAAACATTCCACCAGCTGAGCATGGAAAAGGG